CCAAAACCACACCGGCGTCGGGTTCTTCTCTTCACCAAAAGTCATCGACTAGCAAGGTCATGACTTACCGGCCAGCCCAGAATGCCGCCTTTATTGTCCCTCACACTCCCTTGCTCACAGTCCTCGGACCGAGCGTGTGAGATCAATCTCAGCCATGGCGACTCCCGTTGTTCAGCTCGGCGGCTTACAGACAGAGAACCGCAATGCGCGGACCACCGACATTGACCGGGTGCCAACCCTTGAGCTCTGCCGGATCCTCAACCAGGAGGACCGCGAGGTGCCATTAGCGGTAGAGCAATGTATCCCGGTCGTTGCGCAGGTTATCGATACCCTATCTGAGCGCGTGCGTAATGGCGGCCGTGTTTTCTACATCGGCGCTGGAACAAGCGGAAGGTAAATAGGCTAGTCTTGACTCCAAAGTTCAGCCGCCCATTTGACTGATTTGATAAATCGACTACGGTAACTAATCTCCTGACGATACAGGTTAGGTGTCCTTGACGCATCGGAGATACCCCCTACATATTCAGCTCCATCCGGTCAGTTCATAGCACTGATAGCCGGCGGCGACTATGCGCTTCGCCATGCCAAGGAGGGTGCTGAGGATGCCAGGGACGGGGCCGAGGCCGACTTGCAGCCATTCAATTTAGACCCGAAATTGGATTCATTGATAGGGATTGCATCTTCCGGTCGGACGCCGTACGTACTAGGCGGCCTCGCTTACGCGAAGTCGTTGGGGCTTGCCACCGTTGCGCTTGTTTGCGTCTCGCCTTCGGCTGCCGGGCTCGAGGGCAATGCAGACCACCTCATCTCTGCCGTCACGGGTCCGGAGGCTGTGACCGGGAGCACAAGGATGAAGGCGGGAACAGCGACGAAGCTGGTTCTGAACATGATCAGTACCGGCATCATGATTAAGCTTGGAAAGACATACGGAAATCTGGTAGGCATCTAGCTAAACGTGGCTATGCGTGGAGTGATTCATCCCTGTTGACAGAGCATAGATGATCGACGTAAAAGCCACCAACGTCAAACTCAAGCAACGAGCTCGAAACATTCTCCGGGTCGTTGGAGGAGCCGCCTGCACGCAGTCCGACGCAGAGCTTGACCAGGTCCTGGAGCACTGCGGTGGTAGTGTCAAGCTAGCCGCTGTGACAATCGTCCTGAAGGTCCCGGTGGCAGAGGCTGAAGACAGGCTTCGTCGGAACCAGGGCGTTCTCGCCTGCGTCTTTGAAGAAGCTCGCGAGAAGGCGACGCAGCGGGGAAGCCACGACGAAGGCTTCGTTCTCTGCGTAGATGCGGGCGGTACTAGCTGCAAGGCTGTGATAATGTCGGAAGACGGAGAGACAGGCATGGGTGCAGCTGGCCCTTGCAATGCGTACGTGGTTCTTCGACTGCGATTAAGCCTCTATCCTTGTCGCTAACAGTTCTAGAACAACCATTGGGCCCCAGGCGGCCATTTCCACCATTTCAGAGGCAATTCAGGAGGCAGTAGACAGCTGCAAAGCCACCAAGGGGCGTCGCATACAGGACATTAAGCTGGCGGGTGCCTGGGTCGGCATGGCTGGCTACGACAGGGCGTCATTGTCTCCCATGATCAACCGTGGTGTCTCCGGGCTACTCCGGATCCCTCTAGGCAGGAACCTCAAAGTCACCACAGATGTTGACCTACTTCTATCGTCCATATGTAGCCACGAAGGTCTAAACTCCGTTGTCGTGGTTGTTGCTGGAACAGGATCCATCGCTATGAGCTATGGGAAAGTTGACGGCGAGTTCCGGCGAACGCATCGCGTCGGTGGATGGGGACATCTCCTTGGTGACGATGGCTCCGGCTATAGTATGGGGAGGGAAGCTCTTCGCACAGCACTGTACTCCTCTGACCTCTACAGCATACGCGCAAGCAAGGATCCTGATGCTGACACCCTGACGCTACCCCGACTTTCGCAAGCAGTCTTTGAGCATTTCAAAGAACTATACCCCGAGTTCAAACCGGAGGACCTCCTTAGCACCGTGCTAGTCCCAGATTCGACTTCACACGAAGCAGACAATGCCTCAACTGCGACAGGTAAGCGCATTGCCCGCGTAGCCAAGCTGGTTCTTTCCATGGCTAGCTACGATGACGAGGCGAAGCGCATCCTTGATGCTGGGGTATCGAGTCTCGTCGACTTAGTGGCGCTCCTAGTTCATACTGGAAAGGTTGACCCAGTCACGTCCGGCCTTGTGCTGGCTGGCGGTGTGATGCAGAACGAACTGTACAAAAAGGCATTCTCAGCAGCGCTTGAAACGAAGTGTGGCAAGTTCAAGCTAACCGAGAGCGTATCTCAGCCGGCGGTCTCAGGAGCAAGATATATGCTGAGTCGGATGACATCAGCGACACCGTAACTCTCGTAACTAAGATACCTAGTCCCGGACGCCAACAAATGTGGTAGTAGTAAAATAGAAGAGTAGCTATTAATCCTACATGGAAAAATTAGGATAGCTGCTATCCAGATTATCTATGAACTCTTTTATTCCCGTAACGTGACTCATAGTATGTCCACAAGTTCAAACTTGGGCGAACACTAGATTCACTCCTGCAGGATTCACATATAGAGCAATCGAAGTGAGTATATTCTCAATCAACTCAACGAATCCAATTTATTGTTTTAGTAGCTAATTCTCAATCTATCGCCAAGGTCTAGGAAAGGCGCAAATTCGCTTAGACCACTTTTTTCTCGTCGGTCGCTGAAGTAGCGAGGATAGTATTCAAATTGGCAACGCAACGGGGAGGTTGCCATACCGTTGACAATGTTTTCTCCCAGCAATAGCACTGCGATTGGCTCTATCATAAACGAGCAAGATGCATAGGTCAACGTGGAGTAAGGATGAGAGTTGGGGACTAGCCGAGCACAGCCGAGGTGAAACGAGACATTTACACTAGATAACAACTGCAATCGACAACCGGGATAGAATAATTCATCTTTTCTATACCGAAGTGATGTAACATTGCATTACCCTGCGCTTATCTCACTGAGGGTTAACCACCTTCCGCATGAAGAAAATGAGCTACCGCGTGGCAAGAAGCCAGGCTTATGGAGCAAATATCCATATCGTGAGGTACCGCCAAAGCTACTCCATCCAAAACAGGAAATTAGTGCATCCTGTAGCGTCATTCAGTAGATCCCACCATTCGCATATAGTTGGTTAGATGCTGCGATTGCCCCCATGGCAAGCTAACTAGTGTGGAGGTTGTTATCGTCATAGTTTGAAACGTCCGCGATGCCATCAATTATCCAAAAGCTATTCTTCATCGTCGCCGTCTTATCCACGGCAGCGCCTTCGCTAGCGGAGGCTACATACAAGCCAGATGTCTTGCGGCACGGCACACCCGAGTCCGTCGGGATGCTGTCTAAGCCCCTGGAAGATATGGTTGCCAACCTCACTCATTTCACGGAGGCAAGAAACTGGGGCTCGAAAACATCCAATCAAGTCGTCCCAATTGAACCTGGGAGTGCGACTCTCGTTGCGCGCAACGGCGTGATTGTGAGCCACTTCGCGGTTGGGAAGCGAAATCTCTGGGCCGCTGTCAATGGCTCTGTAGGCACCATGCTTCCCACAGGCGAGCAAGAGAACGCGACTATCGACACTATATACGATATGGCCAGCTTGACTAAACTGTACACCACCATTGCGGGCCTCCGCTGCATAGACCAGGGCTTAGTCTCTCTCAACGGCACAGTGATTACCTATCTCCCGGCGTTCGGCGCGAATGGCAAGGAGAACATCACTATCCTACAGCTCATGACGCACACCAGCGGCCTTGCAGCAGACCCCGAAGTTGGTCTGTGGATGCCCCAGTACCCGACCTATGAGTCGCGGGTTCAACAGATCCTGAATGAGACTGTCCAGAATGTGCCAGGCTCGGCTTACCGATACTCTGATATCAACTACATGACGTTGATGCTGGTAATTGAGAAGGTAACCGGCAAGCGCCTCGACGATGTGATTCATGAGTACACGTCCATGATGGGAATGAAGGATACATTCTTCAACCGTGGCAATACCGAGGGCCCCGAATTCCCGTTCTACGATCGAATGGCAACCGAGGAATTCCAGGCGGCCGTTCTCGGCGATGCCGAGCCGCGCCGACCACAGCCGGTCCGTGGTACCGTCCACGACGAGAATGCATGGGGCCTCGATGGAGTCTCCGGCCACGCCGGCCTGTTCTCCACCGTCCTGGACACGGCGCGCTTTTGCCAGATGATCCTGAATAACGGGACGTACGGCGGTAGCCGTATCCTATCTCAGACATCAGTGGACCTCATCTTCACTAACTTCAACGCCCGCTTCGGCACCGGTGCGTATCACGGCGTCGGGTTCGAGCTGAACCAGTACTATACTGCCGGGCCTATGGCAAATCTTCTCTCGGCCAGTCACACGGGATATACGGGGACGTCGGTAGTCATTGACCGGGCCAGCAACACGCTGTTTCTCCATTTTGCGAACAGAGTCCACCCCTCTAGGAATTGGTCAAGCAATAATATTGTGAGGGAGACGCTCGGTGCCTGGGTGGCAACGGCATTGGGGAGGAATGTTGCGTTCCCTCTCTAATAACGTTGAAAGATGCCAGGTTTCACTTTATAGACTTGTAGCCAGACATGCTCCCTTACTTGTTTTCTAAAACAGAGAGTGTTCGATGACATTCGATGGCAGTTTGGAAGGGATCGGATGCAGTAAGTCGGTTTTGCCAAGTAAAGTCCGCAGCCGCTCGTAAAATTGATTCCTGATTTGATACAACTTTCGGCATAAGGTGAAGGAGAATGAAAGATTTCTGACAATTATAGTAATAGACAGTTAGTTCCAAAAGCTTCTCACTAGTTTAGATGCTGCGTAGATGGAAGATGTCCTGTATACACTTGCCGCATGAGTGCCACGTGGGCCCCCTGCAATGTAAAGCTTAGCAAATGTACGAGTTGCTTCCCAATGGCAAAGAAAAAGAGGACAAAAAGATTGGGACTTGTACATATCTCTCGATCGGGGAATCGAACCCCGGCCACCTGCGATTCGAAGAGAATTCTTGAATCCCGAAGGATAAGTAAGAGTTCTTCTGAATGACAAGCAGGTATCCTCACCACTAGACCAATCGAGAATGGATAAATATGTCGACCATGATGGCCTTACCACACACAGGGCTTGGCCGGGGATTGAACCCGGGACCTCTCGCAGATTTGAAGAATACTGTTCAGCATCTTCTTGGCAAAGGGTGAACCCTAAGCGAGAATCATACCACTAGACCACCAAGCCAGTTGTAGTGCGGTTATTATTTTTTCCGGCCGCTAGCAAGGTACACGATGCTTCGAGTAGGGTGATTCCTGGGAGGGAGTCGAAGTTGGGCAGTGGGAACTGTATCGTATTTGACCATTTTTACTGACTAGGGGCATTTATTCTGTGTCCTGAGGAATATGCATATATATGTTTTGACAAGATTTCGAGATGTAACTGGAACTGAATGATTGATCTAGCTACTCGTTAACGGAGTTTGTGTTGTACGGGAAAGTATAATCCCGAACGAACTTTTACTATGTCGTTTATTAGTTAAAAGGCAACGAGCTATTCATGACATGCGGATAACTGAGGATAACCCTCAGGGGTTTATATTAAGTTCATATGACCTTCATTTATTATAGACAAGTTGTCTCGCTGCCCTTACGTTGGGTGCATATTGGTTGCGATTCGGTTTGAATTTGCCTCGAAAGTAGTAGTTACAAATTTTCTATAAAGTACAATCAAGTGTGACAGAAAAGTTGGATCCTTCCAATTATCCTCTTTCAGATCTTAGAATAGAATTGGCTCTCTGCATGCAAGTTGTAGTTGAGAGACGTTAGATAGGTTAAATGCAATGTCGACTCAGTCGAATCGGTGGTTCGGGATAGGTACCGGTACGTCGGAGAAGGAGAATGCGATAACCAGAAGCGGCAAAAAAAAAAAAGGGCAGTGGGCCGAATCTAGATCCCGATGAGGAAATGCAGCATCTTATCAGCGGGAGTTGTGATTCGCGAAATCGGTGAGATTTAAGTGCTCGGCGCCCAGGACTAGCCGGATGGGGAATAGCGGCGCATTGCGTGATCATCGGCTTGCAATGCGAATGCAAAACACGGTCTTGCCTCACAGCGGCTTTCAGCCTCTGCCACATGGTACATCCCGGATGGCCGCCTCGCTAACCCGCCCGAGCGGATATCAGCCATGCCTACCGATACTACCGATACCCGCTGCCGACGCTGGCGTCTCTTGCGCCATCGCGGTACACGAATAACACAATGGCCGGCCTCAGTCAGTCTCTGGGGCGTATGGTCTAGGGTAAAAGTCAGCGATGGTGGAGTTTTTCCTTTTTTTTCCTTTTTGAGTTGTCTGATAGCATTTAATAATAACCTGAGCGTTTGTTATCCTGGCGTCGTCCTCTTCCAGCGCTATCTGTACCGTGACGCTGGCTTATACAAGCAAGGGTCCAGGGTTTTATAGTCGCAAAGCGTTTGTTGCGACCATAAGGCGTTTGTTGTGACGATTGGCCGACCTATCCCGGTATTTTACAATCTTATAACATCGCGCCTGGTGTGCTGAAGTTGGTTCCTCCCCAACCATCCCAGAGCTGCTCCGAGAGTAGTCGAGATGTCGTCCGGAAAGCCCCTTGCCGACCAGGTCACAGTGCCTGAGTCCGAGACGAAACGTGCCGAATTCACCAAGCGGTCCGCGACCCAGCCCTTCGGCCAAGCTGTACCGTTATCCTCGATATCTGGCCCTACCTACGTCACCGGCCAGTTGCTCGTACAGCAGGTCGCTTATGCCTTGTCCGACAAGATCTTCTCCTACTCCCCCGAGACCTTCGACTTGGATGTTGCCGTAAAAGACTGGGCTGCGTCTCAAGACCAGAACATTCATGGCGATACAACTACAGTCCTGCCGCTTCAGACTCGCACTGGCGCTGGTGCTTTTGCTCTGGGCTACATATTCTCCAAGGATTTCGATCTGAGCAAGCGCCATATCCCGCAGACTCTGTTGGCACCTTCTTATAGTTTACGCCACTTGCGATCCGCCCTGGACCAGCTATCTCTGCTGTATGGAGTCGCCAGTCCCTTTGTGGCACATGTTGCCGCTGTGGACTACACTTCGGATAGCGGCCTTGTTGCCGACTATGGCAGCATCCTCCAGCTAGCTGACGAGCTTGGGCTAGCTCTGGTGTCCAGTTCCTCTGCCTATGAATCTCAGCACATGTCCCTACTTGCTACCTTGATCGCCAAGGTTGTCCCTACACTCCACGTATATGATGGTGTGCGTACATCCCGCGAGACTCTTCGAGTCGTAGACGCCCTCAGCCAAGCAGGCCTCGGTAAAATATTCAACAAGTTGTCCCAGTCCGCCGATAACCTCAATACCCGGCTCGACAGCGCTGGGAAAGTTTTCGAACTACTGCAGGCCTTTAACGGCGAGCTGGGCACTGAGTATGAGCCCTTCGAATATGTCGGCCACGATTCGGCTGAGACCGTTTTCGTTGCCTTTGGTAGCGTCGAGGTTCAGCTTGCCAAACAAGTTGTTTCTAAACTTGCTGCTGACGGCGCCAAAATTGGCGTTGTCGGCGTCCGGATCTACCGCCCCTTCATCGAAGAAGCCTTTATCAAGGTTCTACCCGCTTCAGTTCAGCGAATCGACGTTCTAGGCCAGGTTTCCAATGACACTGCCGTTGCAGATGGTTCGGTCCAATCGGCTTTGTTCTCGGACGTCTTAACTGCTGTTGCTTTCTCGTCTAAGTGGGCATCAACACCAGCGGTGGTTGACGTCAAGTATGCAGCCTCGCAGGTTTTGACTCCTTCGAGTGTTGCTGCAATCATTTCACAGAGCGCAGGCAAAGCAACGGCTGACTCTAGGCTTTCTTTGCCTCAATTGGAGAGTGTTGCGCAATACGTTTTCTGGGATACTGACAATTCGACTGCACTCCTCGCTCCTACAGTCGTCGGCAATCTGCTTTCTCAGGACTACAACAGCAACATCTACCTCGGCGAGTCACATGACAATCTCGTTCAGGGTGGCGTGGTTCGGACGGACCTCCGTTCCTCGCAGAAGACGATTGATGCGCCTTACCCTGTCGAAGAGGCTGATGTTGTCGTTGTCGGTGATGAGAAGCTATTAAAAGATTTTGCCATCTCACAGGGCGTCAAAGACGGCGGCAAATTGCTGCTGCGCCTTCCCAACTTCAAGGATGAGGATGTTGAAAAGAGAGTCCCTGAATCCGTACGCAAAGATCTGCAGAAGAGAGATGTCGCTCTTTATGTCCTGGACACGGCTCTCTCACCGGCTTTCGAAAACGACAACGATGCTACCCGTTTGTTGATTGAACTGAGCTTCCTCAAACTTGCGAACCTCGATACCAAGGATGATCTTTTACAGAAGCTACCTCAATCAGAAGGAAACCAAGTCAAGGTGGAAGAGTGTATTGATGCTGTCGGCAAGTGCCTAAGACAATTCGAGGTTCCCGAAACCTGGGCTGAGGCTTTGAGTGACGCCCAAAGTGAAGCAAAGACTCTGAAGACCAACAGCTTTGTTCCATTCGACAAGTCAGAGACCGAGCCAGACCTGAAGCTTACTAGCTGGGAAGCTGCTGCTAAGGGTCTCGTCTTCAAGGAAGCCTACTCCACCAGCATTGGCCTCCGCCCTGACCTGCCCGTCCAGACATTCACCATTCATGTCAAGGAGAACCGCAGACTTACTCCCTCCACATACGACCGAAATATCTTCCATATCGAATTTGACCTAGGGAACTCTGGCCTTACTTACAAGATTGGGGAGGCTCTCGGAATTCATGCTGAGAATGACCCAGAGATGGTCCTCGAATTTATCGAGTCGTATGGTCTGAATGCAGGTGAACTCGTACAGGTACCCTCTCGCGAGAGTTCTGCCGTCGTCGAGGCACGAACCGTGTACCAAATCTTGACTCAAGGTATCGACATCTTTGGCAAGCCACCAAAACGGTTTTACGAGCAATTGGCCGACTATGCCACCAACGATTTGGAGAAGAAGAAGCTGGCTACGTTAGGTGCCCAGGACGGTGCCGAGGACTTCAAGCGCCGTTCGGAGGTTGACACTGCCACTTTTGCTGATGTCCTGGAAGAGTTCAAGTCCGCCCGCCCCAGCTTCCCAGAGCTTGTTCGGCTAGTCGGCCCTCTGAAGCGCCGTGAATACTCCATCGCCTCCGCCCAGGCAGTAACTCCCAATGCCGTCGCCCTCATGATCGTTGTTGTCGATTGGGTGGACACCCAAGGAAGGACCCGTTATGGCCAGGCCACAAGGTACTTGAGCCGCTTGCCCGTTGGCGCCGCCGTGACCGCTTCCGTCAAGCCCTCGGTCATGAAGCTGCCCACCCGCGACGACGCTCCTCTCATCATGGCTGGTCTTGGCACAGGTCTCGCTCCTTTCCGTGCTTTTGTCCAATATCGCGCAATGCAGAAGGCCCAGGGCAAGGACATCGGCGCCATCTTGCTGTACCTTGGCTCGCGCCACCAGCGCGAAGAGTACCTATACGGCGAGGAATGGGAGGCTTATCTCGATGCTGGTGTCATTACCCTTCTTGGCGCTGCTTTCTCTCGTGACCAGCCCCAGAAGATTTACATCCAGGACCGCATGCGCCAGACGATTAACGATATCGTGAGCGCGTATATCAAGAACGAGGGCTCATTCTACCTCTGCGGCCCCACGTGGCCCGTACCCGATGTCACGGATGTGCTGAAGGAAGCGATTGCTGCCGAAGCCAAGATGAGCGGTCGCAAGGTTGACCCCACGAAGGAGATCGATAGGCTCAAGGAGGAGGGTCGCTACGTGCTTGAGGTGTACTAGTTTATCGAAGCGATATGACGACGTTACGATTCGACATTATACTTGAATATGATTATGTCTTTTAGAGGGAGCCGTTCATCCCATAAGGTTCCATTTATATAGAACCCGAATAAGGAAATTGAGAATTTATCAACTGAGCTATGCAAAAATTTCTGGGCTATTTGAATCTTTGGAGCATGGGCATGGTGTGGAAGAGCTACCGGGGTGTTATGCAAGGTTAGCATTCAGGCCAAATGCAATGTTATGTTGCCTCCGGATATTCATTGCCAAATCAGGCACTAAACGTGCTTATAGTCTCATTATACGAATTCATTGTCACGTAGATATCCAAGCAGAATATTCCAGTGCAGAGCCGGGGTTCATCGCTGTGACCTACTTGAGGAACTCATTTCCTGGACGATACCCCGGGTTCGCCAATGCGA